ACTAGTCTAGCTGTGGGTTCAATCTTCTGGTCGACAAGAGTAAAAGAAGCATGATGTATTAACCCTGTTAGTTAGTAGTTCCGTGCTGCATAGCGAGAAAGAACTATACTGCCATTGCTAAGTGGGCTGCACTGATGACTCTTCTCACACCCACTTTATGTGCTGCTAGCAGTAGTCTTTTGACTGCATCATGTGCTCAGTCTTTTCTGTCTCCCCAGATATCCCGGCCTTCTTGTCACCAGCAAAGAGGCACTCGATGGGTCTGTAGTACGCTGCATAAACCTCGTCAGCTCTTACGCGTGTTTGTCCGTCTACGGGTAGTGCACGACAATGTCCGAAGTCCGACAATGCAACACGGTGCGCGGGTAAGAATACCAGGAAATCGTTCGTCTTGACGTCCAAATGCACGATGTTCTTGCTGTGCACATAGCCCAGTCCGGCCAGTGTTTGCCGAAAATATGTGGTGACATGTGCTCGTCGTGTTGTCCATGGCACGGAGTCCTCAGTGTCCTCTGCGTGCAGCTGCCGAACAACTTTCAAAAGGTCCAATGAGGCATTCTCCATGAGAATGCCTGTGTGTCCAGTCGAGGATTGAAGCAAAGCGTAGAGCTGCACAACGTTCGGGTGTGGTCCGATCTTGCTCAGGATTGTGTACTCCCGTGTCAAGTCCCAAGACTTCTCCAGGCCATCCGTGTGTGTGTCGACCACTGCGGTGTCCTTGTCCGGCGTACGAACGGCGACCTTCAACGCCAGGCGGAGGTCCTGGAAATGGCATGCGAAGACCTCCCCGTATGTGCCTCGCCCAATGTGTCCTGCGGGTTCCAAGCATTCCTCCATTGTCCAACGGAACGTACCACGACCATCGAAGTCCTCCGGTTCACTGACCATAGGCAAGTCCATCGATTGCGAAACGGGTTTCTCTTGTCGTTTCGCACGGCGATATTCGTCTTTTGATGCCTGGTTTTTCTTGTAGCCGTCCTGAGCTCTCTGGGTGTACTCCTTGCGAAGGTCCGGCCGCTTCTTCCTGCAAGAGGACGGAAGTTGGGTAGTTTAGTCTGATGCTGTGCTGCCCGCTAGACATCATCAAGTTCAAGATCACCCATGTACAATGATGCCACTGATGTGAAACTAGATCAAAATATCACAACTTCATGTGCTTTATTTTCCTGAACTACTGCTATGCAACTACATCTTCAGAATAACTGAAGTGGACAGTCGCATCTGCTACCCAGAAAGTACTTTCAATGTCTATGTGATAACCTAGGAAGTCCTACTAGTAATAATGCTCTTGCTGTGAACAACATATGGCATCGTCGGTATATGTTGGAGGGATATCTGAAGGCATACTCGGCTACTTTTACAGGCAACAACCACACGGCATATCCAGTCTACGGCTGCGACCAAGGGACCATCTGTGCTGATAATGACATCGTCCTCGCAGGGGTGTTTTTTTGGTCAGCCGTCGGCGCCGTTTGGGGTCCACACCCTGGCTGCTCATGTCGCGCAAGAACAATGTCCATGCCGACGGCATATGCGAGAGGCCGACCTCCTTCAACTTCGGCCGTGCAACCATGGCTATCTCAAAGGGGTTCGCCGAAGGAACTGCGAGTGACTTCCGAGGAAAGAACAACGATTATCTACGTTGGTAGCACAGCCCAAGAATTAGAACAAAGGACAGGATGCGGAGTGGGTGTCGATGATTTCTCTATGGAACATAAAAGGAATTTCCGTTCTGCACGACAAGAACGAGGAATATTGGCAGGACGCGTGCATGGAAAACAGGCTACTCGCTTCTCTTGTCTTACATATGGCAGGCTTCTCTACCATTGAAGGATGCATTCTGATAAACGAAAAGTAAGACCTGCAGGGTATCATGCATGTCGGACTTCTATGTTGGAGGGACACCTGCCCTTGCTTCATGTGTGGTTCATGCTTGCTTTTTTTTCCTCTCTGGATGGCTCTCTACGACATCATACAATTCAGAGCCAAGACAAGAGAAAA